ACACGAATTAAAACATTTACGTATAATGAACACATCGGTTGCTATTTTTTGTAACTTGAATATACTCGAATTCGTCGCTCATTGTACAATAATTAATTAAACAAAAATTAGTTAATGCATTTTTTTTACGATATCTTAATTTGAACTATCCAAATTGATTTAGCTAATTCAACAAAATAAATCGATTCTTTAAATGTAGAAAAACCCAACAATAATAAAAAAATATCCAGATATTTAATCATACTGTATGACAAATGTGTACTCGAATGATTCTCAAATGCAAAATTCAATATAAAACTATTTTTGTCTTGTAATGCTGGATAATTATAAAAACATGGTATGTAACTATTATCATTCAAGAAATGAAATTATGCAAATATAAATACTTTTCTCTACTATTACCTGTAATTGATGAAAATTTATTCTCAGATAGGAGAACGTTGAACTTTACAGTAACCTCTAGCAATGAATTATTAATTAGCTATCGATTTTTGTTTCTCTTATTTTAACTATGAACTGACCATCTAAATTTTTAATCTAGTTCTGAATAAAAAGAAAGTGTTTCATTTTTAATTCTAAAACCGAAAAGTAATGGAAATGAAATATTTTCTATTGCGTTAAAAAAACTGTTGGGTATTATGCGAAAAATTATATTCAGTGGTTCTCTACTGTATATAATAAAACATGAAAAATATTTTAATTCATTCAATTAATTGATTATTTTATCATAAATAATTAACATGATTAGGTTGATATAATAAAAAATTAAATGTGTTAATAATAAATTGAATATAATCATAAATAATTTTAGGATAAAATGTTTAATGGATTTACAGATAAATCTTCTTAATATTATTAAATATACAATATGAAGACAATATACATTTATTGTTTTCTCAGCTTTAGCTTAGATTTTTCGATAAATTGGAAGGATTTTTAATATAGAAAGGTCTCATTTTTTGCGTACTTGTACTACATACTCATACTGTGTTGGACTGTTAAGCCCAATTTTCATTAACTTCGTATAATCGCTAATTTCATGTTGTGAAATATTAAATAATCAAATAGAGAGTTTTATCTGAAGTATATCAGATACGACTTCAAAATTTGTATTATTGTCATTTTTATTGCTTTATTAAATGATAGTAAAGTAATTTTATGACTTTATTAATTAACTTATTTTATTACTTACGGTTTTGGGGAACTCATCATTTTTCGGTTTGTGTTCAGAGCCCTGGGACTAGAAGCATAAGTGTAAACGCTCCTATATTGTGGCTGAAAAAGGGCCCCACAGATATCGGGGGCCACAGTCCGGGGACCATATGGCGCCATTGTCGAAACAAGAGTTGGGGACTGTAAAATTAAGTAAATTAATAAAAAAAATTTCGTAATCAGAGAAAATTAATATAAACGAAATAATGAATAGTTGCTTTTCTATTTACTCATTATTTTCATATCTCAGTCAGGCAGGGATGTCTGGTATAAGAGATTATGAAACATTTTTCATATTTAATATATACATATCATTTATATCTATTTCATTAAGATACTTTTTAGACCAAAATTTATAGACATGACCTTAAGAGTTGGACATGACTAAAATTGAATCTAAAACTAACATTTGATGCCAATTTGCAGTTTTTAAATTGATCATTTGAAGCACAAGAAAAGAACTTTAAGATACGTAGGAAACTTTGCATGATTTTGATTAAATATGCAAACTTTTGATTAAATATGTAACTGAAAACTGACTTACTAGTTTAAAATACTTTTTTTCTAGATCATTTTAATACACGATTTTAATCATTTCATGACATGTATTCCTAAATATATGTATTTTTATAAATTAATTCGATTCAAGTATAAAAGTTTGTGGAGTCGAAATCTATCAGAAAATATGTATCGACATGGATGTTCACACAGTTTATATTTTCTCTATGATTGTTTTCTGAAATAGATACCTTTTCAACAAAAACAAATCAAAGCCAAATAATAAATTCGAATGAAATATAATGATAATATTGCACTGAATTTACATCAAACAATTTAGAATATTATAGAAGTAATAATGATTGCGAATAAATTTAGATACGTTGATTAGGTTTATATATTTTTTATATTAAAATCTCTATTAAGTGATATTAATATTTATAATTTTGAAGGACAATACGTGGTAGCGATTAAAAAATGCAAAATTTGAAATTAAATTTCTCAAGAAACCATTGCATCTATAGAACTTTATTTTTTTAGGTACATGTCAAAACAAAGATATATTTTCATTATGTAAATATGCACTTATAACTTAGTATCTGGAATGCTTTACATTCCAAATACTAAGTTAAATCATAAAGTTTAATGAGTTTTAATTTTATGATAATATTAAAAATGGTTTTTATTGTTAAGGACATTCACATGCTAAACTATTTTCACTGATTATGGCTTCTAAGTCAAAAAAGGATAAAAAAGGATAAAAAAAATTAATAGAGATAAACTTACCTTTCCCAAATCACATTTATTTTTGAATTAGACTCACTTGACTTTTATAAAACAATTAATTAAAATCGCTAGCTTCAACTGCGCATAAGTATAAAATATCACTTAAAATTAAATATAACTTTTACACCTTAATACGGAATCATAACTGACGAAAATTACATTCTTCTATTTACTTCCAGTCACATTCTAATGACATCGTTGTCATGGCAATCTGATAAATTATTTGATGATGAGAATAATTCGAATATACAAATTGGTTTTCGTTCGTTACTTAGAACTCAGTTACAAACCTACAAAAGTCTTGGCGGAGAATTGATAGAGGACTCTTGAAAAGGCTGAAATTAAAAATTTCTGAAAAATGTAAAATGGGTATAGTAAATTGACTAAAAACCATAGTAAATTGGATTGGTATTTATCAAATAAAAGTATTATGTCCAGCCTTTTCTGATAGTATACTGTACCTTATTATTAAAAACCTTTGACGAGATTCGGTTAATAAATTTGAAAAAAAAAAACTATTTTAAGAAACGGATCAGGCACGACTCACCAAGAATCTGAATCTAGGCAGGATGAGATTCCAAATTTAATACTGGTTTGAGAATTAATACAAAACGATGTACTTTCTTTATACACTTTCTGTGTTTATTTTATATTTTATTTGAAGTAGATTGATTATAATTAGATCTCAGTCATCAGAAACATTTAAGATATATCAAAATTTGATAACTTAAATGGTTAGATTTTCAATCTAAAGTTGCTCAAATTAAAAAAATCAAAAGTATAGCTTTAAATTTGCATTAGTATCTTCTTGCAGTGTTTGTTTCAAACAGAAAATCCGATTATACTTAATTCTCAGTCATTAGAAACATTTAAGATTTATCTTAACAATTGAGCAATACATATATCAAAACACCTCTCAATTATATATGAAAATTTTATAAATGAAATACTTAGATTTTTCATCAAAAGCTACTTAAATTTGCAATGGTATTTAATTAACTTTTTTATGTTTTTTGGATATTCCAAACCATTTTGAATAGTTTGATCCCAAAATTGAAACAAATAAGTGTGTGAGAAAGTGTGTTTGTGAACTAAGTTTTGACCTTTAGTTCAAAAATTTAAAAGCCATTTGATGAAACTCAATAAGGACTCTTGTTGATTACATTTGCGCAACAATAGGCCAAGCCATTTTTTATACCTAATTACCATATAAGGGTAGTTTTTTTTATTAAAGTTGTCTCTAGGAATCTTGAACCGGTTTTGAAAATTTAAACACTGGTCGAAAGATTCAGTTGGGAATAATGTTGATCAGTTTTTTATATAAATCGGCCCAGCCGTTTCTTTGTTATTAATTGAGAAGAGCAATTTTTGACAAATTTGATGAAAATTTGAAAGGTGTGATACCCCTTTGGACCATACAAACATCTAGTAATATTATGTGCCTACAAAATTGAACTGGATGAATTATAAACATCTATTTATGGTTTTGAATAATAATATTTCACTTTCAAAATCAGCAGTTGTACAATTAATCGTCATTATTTTAAAAATTACTAACTCCCAATTATAATTTTCAACCTCTCTAAAGGCAAAAATATAGGCATAATAACTTTGAAGACAAAAATAAGGCACTATCTCTATTTATATATTTACTAACATTAAATTAATTATCAACGAATATGCTCAAACTATCCAAAATTCAAGCTATAAATAAGTGTTACAATAATTTATTAACTTCCAGAAAATACAAATTTTTATATGAATTTACGTTTCAAAGGTTTCTTAATATTTTGCCACACCTTAGAAAAATGGATGTATGTGTGTGTGTATATGGGAACACCGATCAACCTATGTGATTAATTAAAAAAACATTCGATTTGTATTGATAAGCAGACATGCTGATTATTTTTTGGCGAAGGTAGGTCTAGCCGTGCCGTTAGTAGATAAGGAAGTCAAAACTGATCGGGTTCAAATTCACGTCTGTATTTTTTTTAAATTTTATTTAATGCTTTTTATGTTTGTATACTATATGTTTTCTTTAAAATTGTTAACTCAGTGCATATATTTTGCGAACGAAAAATTGATGCATTTGATATAAAATATGTTCCTTCTAACAATAAGTCCGCTTGATTAGATTTTGTTTATATATATTTCATTCAAATATATATAAACAACGTCCTCTAATCTAATAAGTTCTCACATTTTGTCTACAAGGAACAAATAATGAAAATTCTAGTTTTTATAATATTTATTCAGAAACATTTTTGTTGACTGATTATTTTTATTCTTCGAATGATCAATTACGGTACGGGAATTTACCAGCAATTTGCCTTAAGGTACGATGCCATACACCACTAGTTTATTGTATTTTTTCAAACTTGAAACCCTCTTCAATTTTCCGGAACAGGAAGTAATTTTTCAGGCGGTTGTCCAGTGCCGCCATCTTGCCATCAAAAGTCTTATTACAATGACAGTTGACAGTTCAGTTCACTATCAACATTCGATAAAGTCAGATTTGTGAAAAGATTAAATGTTGGAAATAAATAATTTAATAAAATAGAAAAAAATGTCTACAAAAAATAGATTAGGCACAAAGTTCAAGCAAGCAATTGGAGCTTCAGCAAATACTAGATTTAGTTTAATATTATATGTGGCTTTGGCTTTAGTTCGAATAATCTTAACCTGTTTACCACAATTAGGTTATATTCATCCTGATGAATATTTTCAATCACTAGAAGTAATTGCAGGTAGATATTATAGTTTTAAAATAAAAGGATTGTCCATATCAGCATTTTAATATCATAATTTCTAATATACTTTTAATAATTTCATATTATTGTCATTAAATTTGGACTAGTTCACATTATCTAAATATTTAGATGTTTCTTGTTCCTCTTTTCATTATCCAAGTAACTTTAAATATATTAATATGTTATGAAGTTATCTTGATATCTTCATCTCATTGATCGAAGATATTCTTTTGTATTATTCTGAAATCATCAATGTTTTTGTTATTTTTAGGCAGTGTTCTAGATATCGACAGCATTCGAACATGGGATTTCAATGCTACATTTCCAATACGATGCATAACATTCCCTTACCTCACTATTGGCATTCCTTTAAAATTCCTTAATTTCCTATCATACAATTTATTTTATTATTTTAATATAAACATCAAAGGACCTTATACAGTATTAGTATTTCCTCGGCTCTTCATTTGCCTTCTATCATTTATTGTAGATTACTGCCTATATAAAATTTGTATTATTTATGGTCAAAATTATAAAACTAGATTGTGTGTTCTAGCTAGTTCTTTTGTAATGATAGTTTTTGGTACACACACTTTTTCTAATACCTTGGAAATGGTATTTATTTCTATTTTATTATATTGCGTGGCTGAATGTATGTTTTACTCGGATAACATAATTTATCAGAAGGAGTTTTTAATTGATAAATACAACAAAGCTTTTATTACTGTAGATAAAGTTAAATTTCATAAGTTAAAATTAATGCTACCTGATCACACACTGCGCAAGTGTTTGCCTATTAGTACAATATGTGTATTAGGAATATTTAATAGACCTACGTTTATCTGTTTTGGATTTTTTCCAGTATTTTTTTGGCTTTTAAGAGGCTTAGGTACCAAAACAGTTACGATGTATGATTTTAATTTGCGAATTTTTTCATTAATATTATCTGGATTACCAACTTTAATTTTATTGATAGTCATTGATTCGTTTTATTATATGTATATAACTATGGCAGAAGTAGAAAAACTAGATATATCAATTAATAGTTTTGTTGTTACACCTTTAAATTTTGTGAAATACAATCTACAAAGCAGTAATTTAAAAGAACATGGTATACATCCTATGTGGCTACATATTATTGTTAATATTCCCTTATTATTTAATGTATTGGGAATCTATGGAGTATATAAGTTTACAACAATAATGTACAGGTAATAATTGATTATAAATATTACCAAATATTCACTTAGTGATGTGAAAACTATTAATTTTAGATTATTTCGAGGACGATACACACAAATACCTCGGATTCAAAGCATTGTTGGCCTAATGACTGCTTGCTTCATGGGTCCTATTATTTTACTTTCATTTATAAAACATCAGGAACCGAGATTTTTGATTCCGGTTATACTTCCATTGGTTTTTCTGCATTCTCAAAAAATTCAACATCCAGCAGAAGTTTCACAAAATAAGATAAAAGATAAGCAGCATTCTGTTCTATTAAGAATTTGGTATACTGTAAATATTATCTGCATAGTGTTCTTCGGTTTTATTCATCAGGGTGGCATCTACCCTTTAGCAGATTATATTTCAAATGCCTTAACATTAAAGCCCCAACAAAGTTCTGTTCATTTGGTAACCAGCCATTTATTTATGTTTCCTGAATCATTACTTTTAATACCTGACAGTAAACGGTTAAGAAAAAATTATGATACTGGTCAAAAATATAGAATAGGTAGGCAATTCCATTCCTATGAAATGGGTTCTGCATCCATAGACAAAGTGGTGGATAAAATCAATGCCATATATACAGTATCACAAATTAAATATGAAAAGACTAATATTTATAATATCATATATTTAGCAATTCCTTCTTCATTGATTAATGAACTTGATAGTGTTATTAATATGAGGAAAAATGTTCCATTTGTACTAAATGAAATGAAGCATTTTTATTCACATATCAGTGTAGAAGCATTGCCAAGGATTTCTATTTATGAAAATTGTTCTAGTCATATAGATAATACAGAATATTGCACTTCGGATAATATCACCAAATCACCAAAAAAGTTTTTTTCTGATATTATTGATCAGATTGGTTTAACTCTGTATCGAGTTCAAAAAAGAACTTGATATAATAATAATTAGTTGTGTTAGTAGTTTGCATATTAATTAATTTAGTATCTTATTAATTAATGTAGCTAATGCTGCATTGTACATAAATTTTATAATTATTTATTAATAGATTGCTTTAAAATTAAATAATAAACAAATATTTATTTGTAGCACATATAAGCATCAAGTTTTATACATCTAGTCAATATTTATAATAGATTTATATTTCATGTTAATACATTTTTCAGATCAGTTTATGCCTTTCATTTAAATAATTGCGATTATATAATATTAATAAAATGGAAGAAACATTTATCTGATTCGAATTCAGTTTAGTAGTTGATAGGTGGCGAAACCATTTTACGAATTGAAATATCACAAATTTTTTTTATTAACAGAATAGAAAAAAATTCTTATACATTTTTCATTGTGGATTTTAGTAAATAATAGTTTTTTTTAACTTCCCGTAGGGTAAGTTATAGTAATCGCAAAAAAAAACAAAAACAAAATTTTTTATATACCTTTACGTTTCAAAGGAACATTTTGGCATACCTCAGAAAAAATAGATATATGTGTGTGTATGTGTGTATGTGAGTGTGTCTGTGTGTGCGGATACAAATTTCCGTCGACGATTTCGGGAACACCGATCAACCGATTTGAATAATTCAAAAAACATTCGATTTGTATTGATAAGGAGATGTGCTGATTAGTTTTTGGCAGGTCTAGCCGTTCCGAAGATACGGGGAAGAAATGCCAAAAACGGTAACTCAGTTTTTAAGAGAACGGAGCGTCCGATTTTAATAATTCAAAAAACATTTTACTTGTATTGACAGGATGAAGAATTGATTAAATTTTTGGGAAGGCAGGTCCAGCGGTTATGGACTCTCAATAAAAATAATTTAAAAAATGACATTTGGCGGTCAAAAATGTTAATTGGATATATGTACATAAAAAAATCAGATATTTTGTAAAAATTTTAATAATGTGTACACATTCTGTGTAATTTTTTCTTGGTTCCGTACCAAGATTTTCAATTACCAGCAATTTGCCTTAAAGCACAATGCCATGCACCCCACTAGTTTGCAATTCGATTCTTATAAACAATTCATAAGAATTTCTTTCATATTCGAAACATTGTAATCATAATGCAGATTTTTTATTATAAACTGTTCTTTTTGAAAGAACCGAATATCTTTTTTGGCCTCTTAAAATTATCGACCGAATTTTTTACGTTTCGACATTCATATAATCCATCATTCTGCAGCCCATATCAGGAAGAACAAAATAAAAAGGCTGAAACGTTTTTTAAAAAACCTTCTAATTAACATTAAAACATCAAAACATGACAAAAAATTTAAAAAAGTATAAAAACAAAGAATGTTCCATCAAACAATGATAAATGATAAATATTCATTTTTATTATTTTGCGTTATGCTTTGGTATTTTAATGTTGATTAAAATAAATAATAAAATATATTTGTTTGTTTTTCTTCCTGTTATGACTTCCAGACATTTTTAATATATATCAAGTATGTTGAAATGTATGAATAAACCTTGTTAAATTAAATAATTTGTTAGCAGGTAAGCAATTATCTGCCATAACGCATCCAATTTTTAAACTTTAGTGACATGAATATATAATTACTTAGATACATTTTTAAATAAGTCAATCATTTATTATAATTAAGATGTCTTAGATTGATTGACATTATCTATGACTAGATCATATGAATTTTTTTTGCATAAAATCATAAAAGAATTAATAATGTGAACCTGGAAAAGTGTAGTATGTAATATGATATTGTTTATAATTGTGTGTAGTTCGAAAACAATAGCGCAGCACCTGCGGACACCCATCAAGAAAGATTCCGTGTTATCAATAAATATACCTGAGCGGCGTATCAGGCTATTACATAAAAACATTTCTTACCTGTAGAAGACCGAGTGGG